ATATCCTACCCTCCTTTGGAGTAGAATTTCTTAAGGCCGGGTGTGGCCGGAACAGAACAAATTGGTAATGGAAATTGCGAACCGCTTGTTTGAGTAGAGATAGCTAGAAGTGGGCTATATGTTTTTTAAGGATAAAAATGGAAAAAAAAACAAAAAAAACACCGGAACTTGCATACCAGCAAGGGAATCGAAGAAAAAAAACCTGTACACCATCCTACCAATGCCGATTACTTTTTCAGAACCTTTCTGGACTTATTTTCCCAATCCTTGTCAAATCCTATCCCGTTGAAAAAAACTGTTAGCAGAGCTTCGTAGAATTATATTCGGTTACGAGATCAAAACCAGAAGGAAGGAAAAGGGCTTTCTGAGTCATATCTGCCATATCTGCCATATCTGTACGTAAAGATTGAAAAGGTCCTCACCATATATAGGGTTTCCGAGCTGAATGGCAAACCTTGTTAGCAATAATTCTAGTCGCATATAAGATAAAGGGAAGATGAACAAACTCTCTTAAGGGAATGGATAACCTATATGATCAAACAAATCAGTATTGTACCCAAAGAGCTAACTAGAACAAAGACCTTGACTCACATCAGTAACCGTAATGGTCTTGCGATTGGCGTGCTCAAGGTAAATGGTACATGAATGAAGGATCTAGTAAAAACAACTATATCAGCTATCACTCTGTTACCACTATTAACGTTCACTCCAAAAGTCAAAAACCTGCGAACCTTTTTGAGGCGATCGGTCATGGCACCGCGCATCTCATTATAAATGGCTGCCGAGATACGTTTGACCCCACCACGTCTAGCAAGACGACTGCCCAACAGATCAGTATGCCGAGATAGGGTAACGCCTCAATCAAGTCTTGTGGAAAATGGATGAAAGGAAACAAACCGAAGATCACCCTTGGCTGTGTTCAAGGAAAGATAATTAGCCCAATGCTGACTCCAAAACCCTACCACAGATAAAGGAAAAATAGGACAACAAAGAAGATGGAAAACTCACTAATACCGTGCACTGAATCTCTGTGGATCTTTCTCTGACGCCTCAAACGACTAAGCCCAACCCCCTTCCCAAGGCCAGAAGCAGACTTTCCACCAACAGTCTTCCCACCGCCAGAATGTCTTCCTCTCCCGGTAGGAGGAGGAGGAGCGCGGCCGATATTGCGAGTAGGAGGCATTTTGAGTTTTTCTTTGTCTTTTTTACTTGCTGGTTGAATAGATAGCAGTAGGAGTAGTAGTAGTAGTAGTAGGGGAGACGCCGAGGATTGCCTGAGCAGTCGGTGTTACTGGGGTTGTTGGCTGAAGTAGGGCAGGAGAGAGAGAGGGGGCGAAGGAGGGGAGATAAATTAGGGCGAAGAGGAAGAGAAGGGGAAGAGGGAAGGGAGGAGGAGGAAAGGGAGGGTGTGGGAGGATAAGGATGGGTGGGAAGACGCGGCGGGAAAGCTAGGGCACGCATGGCAACCAACCAAGCTTTGGAGTTTGAGAAACGTCACGTGATGGGGGAACCCCGCGGTTTGGGGTTTACTTAAGCTGACTAGCTCATTATGGGATGGGCAAGGGGCACCGTAGGCTACCGGTAGGCGAGAATTTCTTGCTCATGACTGACTCCCTTGATTGTTCTGCTCTTTTCGTGATATATGATACCCCGGGAATAAACGTTTTATCGGCGCGATAAGTGAAACTTTTCCCCTGGCTTCGTGGACCGGATTTTGGGCGGATCTGTACTATTTGTCGCAGTTTTGAGGTTCTGCGGATGTTTCACGGGAGGGCTTTTTTAGAGTTGGGTTGGAGTATCACACTGTGCTGTACAGTACTCGTACAAGTATAAAGTGAAGTACTCGAGCAGGCGATTTCTCTGGCGCACGAGAACCGCACTATATAGTCTAACCTTATCCTACTCATCCCGTTTGCGACACCAACGGGGGGAGCTCATCACCACCTCTAACTTTGCGGTAACATCATGGTGTTTTCACAGACCCTCCCCATCCAATTGTACAAATATGATACCATAAGCAAACATCTAATCCCAGCGCATACCCGTACCATAGTCCACAGTCCACATTCCCATCTTCATAGGTGATCGTACCACCATCGCACTCTACAAGTATATCTGTTGGATTGAATTACCTACTATCAACTATCTTGTGCTCGTATTACCGTAATATATCCGTACCACATCATACCCACATGGGATCATAGCAAACACCCCCGTTGTTGACA